AGAGCAGCAGTAGTAGGACATGGAAAATATAAAAATATTTTTACCTTTTCATGCACTAACAAATATTTTTTTACATTATTTGTTATGAATAACATATATAAGATCAGTGTGAACAGAATCACGTTAATATTTTTTCCATATCTCTGATATTTCCGACAAAAAGTGAGTTTGAAAATTTGGGCCATTTTCACATGTTTTCAATAATATCTCGGCCAAATGATGAGCTAGGGTGTTGAAAATTGTTGGAAAAGACCTATAAAATGGCATTAAAATCATTTAAATATTGGGGTGTGGCCGATTCTGTATGGAAACACGCTCATATTCTTTCCCTGATTAGAAATTAAAAATTACTGAACTTATTATACGTTGATTAAGCCATATGTCTCGTTGATAATTTAGCTAAAATATGCAATATATTTAATATCTGATCGAGAAATTTTTTTTTTGCTGATGTTACAAAAATAACTCTTTTGTGAAGATATGCAATAAATGATGAATATTCCATTCATAACGTTCGTTTGAAAAAGCCCTGTCTGAATATACATGACATCAACAACATATGAGTGGCATATGATCTTTTACATTTTGAAATATATCAACTGCGTTTTGCTCATATGTATGTAAATTATATATATATATATATATATATATATATATATAATTATTATATAATTAGTGAATCCCAAGAGAAAAGAATTAGATAAATTAATACAACAACATAAATACACAACTATTTCCACAGGAACACCAACGTACTGGCCCACCGATCCAGCAAGAATACCTGACCTCTTGGATTTTTTCATAGTTTCTGGTATTAATAAATCATATATTGAAGTTCAAAATTGTTTCGATTTATCATCTGACCACTCGTCCATAATTGCATCAATCAATACGACAGTTATACCAACAAATCAAGCTCCAGCGTTGCATAACAACAATACAAACTGGGAATTTTATAGAAACATAATTGAAGAAAAAGTTAACTTAAAGGCCAAATTACGAATTCCAAGTGATATTGACAATGAACTTGTCAATTTCAAACAAATCATGGAAAATGCGGTCAAATCTTCAACTCCAAACAAAAATAGTAGTTATAAAATACCCAGTATTAGTCTTGAAATAAAAAGATTGATAGCAGCAAAGAGAAAAGCAAGAAGAATATGGCAGAATTCTCATTATCCAACTGATAAAAAAATACTTAATGAATTAAGTAATAAATTAAAAGTCAAAATTAAACAATGGAATGAGAATAGCTTTAACAATTATTTGAAAAAACTCAACAGATTTGATAACTCTGTGTGGAAGCCTATTGCCAACAAGAAAAAACCTATCATGAATAAATCACCAATTCGGGAAAGCAGTTCTTCAACTTGTTGGGCGAGAAGTGACTCAGAATAATCCATATTATTCGCAGAATACTTAAGCTCAGTTTTTACACCAAATATTTCATTTTCAAATCATAGCTTTCAGTTTTCCACAAACATTGGACAAGATTTTACAGCTAAGAAAACGAAATTTTTTACAGTTAAAAGAATATTCAATGAAATTGAGAGAATAAAAATAAAAAAATCTCCAGGTCCGGATCAAATTACACCCAGAATGCATGAAGAACTTCCAAGAAAGGGAGTAATTTTTATTACATATATCTTTAATGCAATTTTAAGGATGGATTATCGGCCCTCAACCTTCAAGTTAGCGTCTATCATAATGGTTCCTAAACCAGGAAAAAATTTACATTTGGTACAATCTTATAGGCCTATTAGTCTCCTACCAATTTTGTCTAAGATTTTTGAAAAAATTATTCTGGAAGATATAAACAAAGAAGTCAGTCTGCTACCAGATCATCAGTTTGGTTTCAGAAAAGGACATTCTACGATACAACAATGTCACAGACTAGTGGATTCAATTACCAAGACTTTTGAGAAGAATAAATATTGTTCAGCCGCCTTTCTTGACATAAGTCGAGCATTTGACAAGGTATGGCATGAAGGACTTCTTCACAAAATTAAAACATTACTTCTGTTATATTATAAGTTTTTTGAATCGTACTTAAAAAATAGGAAGTTTCAAATAAAAATAGGTAGTGATTACACAGAACCAAAAATTATGAAAGCTGGGGTACCACAGGGAAGCGTGTTGGGACCATTTCTTTATTTACTATTCACATATGATTTTCCGACCAGGTGGCAAACAACAACTGCCACATTTGCAGATGACATTGCTGTTCTTGCAGTCGATGATAATCCAAACCAAGCATCTTCGAAGCTTCAACAGCATCTAAATCAAATTGAAGAATGGGCAAATAACTGGAAAATAAAAATAAATTCTACAAAATTTCACCACATTTTTTTTACACTACGGAAAGAAACATGCCCACCTGTATCATTGAATGGAGAGCAGCTGCCACAAAATGACACAGTTAGATATTTAGGCATGCACTTAGATAAAAGACTGACATGGAAACATCACATAAAAACTAAAATACAACAAATTAAACTAAAAATTAAAGATTTATTTTGGCTCATAGGAAGAAACTCTGTACTATCAATGGATAATAAGGTTTTAATATATAAAACCATTATTAAGCCAATTTGGACCTATGGCATTGAACTATGGGGATGTGCCAGTAAATCTAACATTGTCATGATGCAAAGAATTCAGTCCAAGACTCTTCGTGAAATATGTAATGCTCCATGGTATGTTTCGAACTATACTATTCACAACGATCTGAACATACCTTATATTAAAGATGTTATCAAGGACAAAAGCATCACTCATAACCACAAGATTGAAAACCAAGGAGAAGACTTAAAAGAAACTGGCCCATAGATCTACTCGAGTAGATATATTATCTTTAAGTGGTCACTCAATGGAGTGATCCTGATACTATTATTTTATTATTATTATTATTATTATTATTAATATTATTATTATTATTATTTTATTATTATTATTATTATTATTATTATTATTTTATTATTATTATTATTATTATTATTATTATTATTATTATTATCATTACTATTATCATTCTCATTATTATTCTTATTATTATTACTGTTATCATTATTATTATCATTATTATTATCATTATTATTTATATTATTATTTCATTTATTATATACATATATATATATATTTTGTTGTTAAACCATAGCAGAATAGCTTATAAAATTTTATGTAATTTTGATTGCTGTTTATTAATTAATAAAAAAAAACGAGTTAAAAAAAAAAATGTACAAGTTTAGAAATAAAAATCATTGTTTTGTAAACATCTCCGTCAAATCAAAACAAACAATGTGCCTACACTGGCTTTGCTGGTGAAAGAATAATAGCGCACTTAGACTTTTTTTTGGACAATTTTTTTTTCTGAAAGTGATTCGGATAATCGGCGATTCGGATAGTCGAAGTTCGGATAATTGGAGTTCTACTGTATATATATATATATATATATATATATATAATATGTATATACATATTTATTTAAACATAAATACACTATACTCTTGTTTGCATTATTTTATTAAATAATGTTTCATGCTACAAAAGTGTAGAGAGAGTGATATGTTTTATTATCCATATAAATATATAACTAATAGTATTGACAATTTTATAAAATATAGGTTTAAATTTTGCTAATGATTAAATCGACGTAAAAGAATTTTATCTCATACAAATTTACAAATTATATAAATTATATAAAATTTGAACTGGAAATTGGCATGTAAAAATAATAACTTCTTACAATAGACAAATCTTTCAAGTTATATTTGTATTTTACTATATGTATGCAGCATCTATATGTATGAAACACAGAAAATAAAATCAGTGATTGTTTCACTTTGAAAGATTTAGTAAATCAATATAATATTAATATAAAATTAAGAACGCGAGACGCATGTAAAAAAAAAATGTACCACACAATATAGGAACGCAATAACGAACTATTACAAAATTGATCCTATACCATTGCCTAATATATGTTTATTTATAATATAGAATATGTTAGAATAGTTAAACTTTTCGGCACTTTGCATTGAAACATCAAAAAAATTATCACGCAGATTCTATCCTACAAGCTAAATGGTAAATTATACGTGAAAACGTGATGGGACAAACGATGCAGAATAAAATAACGAATAAATTGATATATAATTCGATATGTGTGTTCATATAATTTAGTTGAGGTTTACCAATTTTCCTTGAATTTCAGAATCGCAACCTTCCCATAGGTCAAACCGTTTGAAATACGAAATTTCAATATATGGAAGAAATACTAATATTATTGAGATTCTAACTCTGTATAATATTTAGTACGGTTTCTTTATAGAAGTATCGAATAGTGTGAATAGTTGGTGCAACCTAACCGTACTTTGCATTTCAACATTTGAATATTCACACAGATTTTATACTACAAGCTAAACGGTAAAAGATACAAAGTAGTACGAATAGTGTGAATAGTTGGTGCAACCTAACCGTACTTTGCATTTCAACATTTGAATATTCACACAGATTTTATACTACAAGCTAAACGGTAAAAGATACAAAAAAACTTTGTTTGGACGAAAGATGAAGAAAATTTCGAATAAAATGATATATAAATCGTTATGTGTGTTCATGTGATTTTCTTGAGATTTTGCAATTTTCCTGAAATTTTACGGCTGCGACTCTAGACCACGCCTTGTGGAATACGAAGTAGCGATATATGAAAAAAGAACTAACAATTTTGAGAAGATTCTAACTATGTATAATACTTTATATGATTTCTATATGAAAATAAGATATAGTTTGAATAGTTGCTCAAACCTATCCGCACTTTGCATTTAAACATCTTCTAAATAATCACGCAAATTCTATACTACAAGCTAATCAGCTGTAATGCAGTATTTAATAAGTACGATACGAAATTTTCTCGTTTTCTCTTAGCGATTGCAGCCACAAATTAAGAATTTGTGTTCCTGTATTGACTAATTTCTAATGTAATAATTATTATAACTCACCTGGCTCTTCATGGGGTCCGTGTTGATCTGACACATGTACATGCCGCGGTCCTCCTCGGCGACGTCGCGGATGTGCAAGTTCCATGTAGAGTGGTCGCTGTGTGAGACGGACACCCGAGGATTGTGGGTTATCACGTGGTCGTGGATCGCTTGGATGGCTTTCGTATCGGCTTTAACCCAACCGACCTGAAAAGAAGATATACGAATATTAGAAAAAGTAGAAAATTATTAATAAAGAATGATGTATTAATTTGATCAAGTAGTAGTGTATGGTTCTGTGAATAAAGTTAAATATTGTATGAAGAATAATGTTGTGCATTATTAAAAATAACAAATGCATATATCAACAAAAATAGTGTTTATCAAGAAGTTAACACCTCCTTATGTATGTACATACATAGTTTCAGAAATTACATTACATACAAATACTAAACTTCTTTTTGACTATTATTGAACAGCAATCAGAACCATACGCCCTATGAGCTGTTGGGCTGAAACTTCTCCTTACTTCGCATTTTTTAGATGGTAACCCAATGGTTAATCCATCCATATTTGATGATTTTTTGTTATTAGAATTAATCTAATAGGGCTGACTTTTTATTGGTGCTACAATGCCGGGTGAGGGCTATTTTCACTTGGGAACATATTGCTACCTATATTTCCAAGTGAAAATCGTTGTCACTGCTGCCTGACAACAGGCTGCTCGAAGTGGGTATCGAACCCGGGACCTCTGAAACAAGTCCCGTCGCTCTTAACCGCTTACCTACGGGCGAGCCCAAATACTAAACTGCAGCATTAATCGTGCAAAAATGTGACTTGTAGGTATGTATATACAAAAAATTATTCGCTGTTGGGATAACCGAGGGTCGGATTAACTAGATTCTACTGTATTGTAAAAAAAAAAAACTAGTGGGACATGGCATTGTGCTTTAAGTTCGAACTTTCAGTGTTTTCTTTTTTATTTTTTTTAACTTTTTTGATATGTTTTGCTAATTCTGAATACATCGACATTTTAGAAAAACTTAAGTTGTTTTGAAATTTTAAACTTTTAAATGTTTTGAAATTTTTCGAAAATTTTGAAACCCATTCAAGTCGGTTGATCCATACCGCCGAGAATGTCAAGAAAATTTGTTTGAACTATATAAGTGAACTTTAAACATTATAAATCTTGATACGGCCCAAAAAATAGAAACAATTTTTATACTTGATATTAAAATGTCTAATAAATATTTGATAATTTGATATGCTTATGTCTAATAATAATTTTTAATAGCCAAATGGCATGTTTTTAAGTTTTTTACTTGATTTCCAAAACCGCTGGATCTGCCTCACAAAACATCCATCAATTTTTCATTCTATCAATACAAATAAAATGCCTTTTAAATGATTTTTGAGACTTTTTGCCCCGTATGTTTGAAACGGTTAGACCTGTCTTTGCCAAAAATAAATCAGCCGGTCTTTTCATTATTATAATGTTTTTTGAATCATTCAAATCGGTTGAAATATATCATGTTTTATAAACCGTTTTTTTTTGTTATATGTAATGATATTTTGGAAATTTAGTTTAAAAGTAAATAAGTTTCTGAAAACATTTTGTAAAAATATTTATAAATTGTAAAATAAATTTAAAAATCTTTCAAAATACTTAAAAGTGCTGCATGCATAAAATGTATCATTAATATCATAAGCTAAATACCTATCTAGTAGTTAGTAACTGCTATACACACGTTGTAAACCTGAAAAAAAACTTTTTCGATTTAAGTAATAAAGTCTTATATATTACATCTAACGTCTCAAATCTTACAAGTTTATATAAATTTGAATTTTAAAATCAAGATAGAATAATTAATTTATACAAAATCTCCCAAAGTTTTATAGAACTGTCATAACTAATATCATTTTAATTTAAATTTTTCTAAGGCACTAAAACAAAATCTGATATTAGTTTAATAGTAAAAACATTATCAAAACCTTTATGAAAAATCTGGTAATTTGATGAGCAATCATCAAGTATTCATCTTTTGCCGTCGAACAGTGTTTTTAGTACTTTGTTTGCTGTAATAAGATAGGCCTTCATTTGATACTTTATTTGAAATCAAATTTTGAGTCGCTTAAATTCACACACACACACACACACATATATATATATATATATATATATATATATATATATACATAATATTGTCAAGCTGGATGTATTTGAAATCCAATTAACTGTAATTAAGGTCAAACAGAGTAATTGTAAACAGCGGGTTTATGCAAATATTTGCCAGCTGAATTTTGAGTGAACAGGATAATGATAATATGGCTTATCTTTCAGATGATTTGGCTTGCTTTATCATTCATTTGATTATTCTCTCTCAAACGCAGAATATATGAATCTGTATCATGGCATCGAGCCTTAAATTAAATTGAAATTTTAGAAATAATTGAAATAACCTTGGTGAGGAGCCCATCATGTTTCTGTTTATGTACCTATCGTAAGTCGTAAGTATTTGTGAAAAACCGAGGGTACTTACGTTTTTCTCTATGTTTCGGAAATGTTTAATCGGAAAAATAATACACAAAAATTATCTGACATGACGATTAATGTCATATAATGTCGGTCTGAAACAAATGATAATACTCAATTCGACCCAAAAAAATCGATAATAGAAAATGAATCAGTGAGTCTAAATAAAAAATAAAACAAACAAATTTTCATATAATATGATTTGAAATTCATAAAATTGTTGTTATGGATTAGCTATGGATCACATCCCACAAATATAAAATTAATTAAGGATTACAGAAAATATACGACGGAAATGCTGCCATTTGATTTGAACATGATGAGAACTAAGCACAACATGATAATACAATCCAAAGAAAGTTTATTGAACAAATATAATAAGGCCAGTGAAACCATTAAATCCCTTATTGCTGATCTAGAAAATATGGAACACAGATTAGGACAAACTTTGAAGCGCATAAGAGAAGAACTTAAATATAATTAGACAAGCAAAATGAAATCCGAAAAAAAAACAAGAAAATGTTGATTTATAATTTATATGGTCTTGAAATTAAATTCTGTGATATCTGTAAAACCTGAATTTCAAGTTTTTGTAAAATTACTTTTGCTTACAGTGATGAATACATACATTTATACATTTTATTTTTACATTCTAATTTTAATTGTGAATATGTTACTATGTCAACTAATAAATTAAACACATCTTATATATTGTTCTAATGACCAAATGAACATTTAAGATACATAAATTAGAGCACTATATCGCAAATAATATTATATTGCACCTTGTTGTAGTGTGATAATTAACTTTTCACTGATAGCAAAGTCATACATTTTTTTAGCGTCAAAAATAAGCCGAAAGTAAAGAATATTTGAATCAATTTGAATGCGGGAATTATATAAAGTACATTCAATTTTAGCAAGCTTAATATTGAAATATTCGATATTAACGAAACCAAATTTTGCACAGTACACAAGCAGTTCAAAATCTAAATGTTTAGTTAAATAATTCGAATAGTTGAAAATTTCAATAATTTTGTATTTAATTGATATTGTAATACTATACCTTATGAATAATAATATAATACTGAAATTATAATTTTCAAAATGATGGAGTAATTCAAACGTGATACTCAATATAAAGAAAGAAAATAAATCTTCAAGACTGGTAGTGCATGGCAATGTGCCTTAAGGAAAAGTGCTGAAACTTGAGAAATAAAAATAATAAATAATCAAAAAATATTGATCAATGATTACCAATAAATGTTTCAAATATCTTCAAGTAGATTAATATAAATAGTATAAATTCTATCATTAGTATTTTTTTATTGCTGTGACCTTATTGTACAAAAAAGTTGTTAACAAAAGATGTAAACAAATATAAACAAAACCTAATCAAACACAATTTGAATCAATTCATTCAACGATCTTATCTCATATTATAAAAGATTATTTGGAAGAAACAGAATTGTAAACTTAACCCTTTCGACTCGGATGCCGCCGCTCCGGCGGCATAGTCATTTTACCGTTGCGCTCGGATGCCGCGACGACTTGTCGCAAACTAAATTTACATTTAATTTTTTAAAAATTAATTTACTATTACATTCATTTATTGATTGATTTATTAATTTTATAAATAAATATATACCAAAATTAATTTATTAGCTCATGATCCCCATAATTCTAATAAAGATCTGTGAAGAAATGATTTTTTAAACAATATAGCATGGTTTTGAGTGCAATTTTTTTTAATTTTCAATTTTTTTATTTTATTATCATAATAACTATATTTAAAAGCAATATAACCACATTTTGAAAAAAATCCGATACAAAAAAAAATTCCGAGTTGAGAGATAAGTATAGCACTATAATATTCCGAGCGCAGCGTACCGACTGGCAGTCCGACTCCCGAGTCGAAAGTGTTAAAATAATTTATTTAAGTGTGCCTTAGAATTTCCGAATGATGTGAAAAAAAGACTTTTTTTTACCTATTTTAAAATAAACTAGTGGGGTGTATGGCATCGTGCCTTAAGGCAAATTGCTGGACCTTCCCGTACCGTAACGAAATCTTCGAGGAATACTGAATGTTTTCAAATAGATCATTATAAATATTGTAACACTTTCTAATATTTATAAGAATTATATAAACTAAATTGCAAAGTTGAAATTATTTGTTTTTAGGTATATTAAAACTATAGTCAGAATTAAAAATCAAGTCTGAAATATTTTCGATATACAAAAAAAAAATATTTTGAAAAAAAAAAAAAAAGAAGTTGAAACAAAAAAATTGTTTTTTCCAAAATCAATTATTTTGTTAAGACAAGCAGGAAGTTCTTTGAATCATTTAAATCGGACGCTTAGTTCTCTCAAAAACTGTGATTTTTGCACATTTAGCTCCGTATCTTCGAAACGGCTGGGCCTGCCTTTGCTAAAAACTAATAAACACTTCTCCCAATCATTATTAATTGAATATTTTTTAGATCATTCAAATCGGATACTCCGTTCTCTCAAAAGCTTGATTTCTATTTTCTGCACTCTTTGCTCCATATCTCCGTAACTGCTGGATCTGCCTTTGCTAAAAACTAATCAGCTCCTTTCTCTATCAATAGGAATCGAATGATTTTTGAACCATTCAAATCAGTTGATCCGTGCGCACGAAAACGTGACTGGAAAT